ACACACGCACACACGCACACACGCACACGCGCACACGCGCACATGCGCACACGCGCACACGAGCACACGCGCACACGCGCACACGCGCACACGCGCAGACGCGCTCACGCACACGCGCACACGCGCACACGCGCTCACGCGCACACGCGCACACGCGCACACGCGCACACGCGCACACGCGCACACGCGCACACGCGCACACGCGCACACGCGCACACGCGCGCACGCGCATACGCGCGCATGCGCACACGCACACGCACACGCACCCGCACCCGCACCCGCACCCGCACATTCACCAGCACCCGCACCCGCACCCGCACCCGCGCCCACAGCCGCAGCCGCACCCGCACCCGCACCCGTACCCGCACACACACATACACAGAGGCACACACACACACGGCTGGTTAGGGGTAACAGGGGAAACCGCCACGACAGTAGTCATAAAGCAATTGCCGACCGCAAACGAGGCTCGAGAAAGCTAATTTTCCCGTTCTCCTCCCGTCTCTTCTTATCATTGTTTTTGTCCTGTGCCGCTGCGGGCCCCCACCCTCCTCATTCTGGTACCCTTTTCCCTCTCCTACTTCTGCTCGCGTCGGCGACATCTGCTTGCCGCGGATGTTCCACGGGTGCACGCTGGTCAGCTACAGCGCTGGGATCAGCGCGTGCGAGAAAGGCGAACAGTGGCAGCGTGCTGTGGCTCTACTCGGCGAGATGCGGGAGGCGAAGCTGCATCCCAACGTCATCAGTTACAGCGCAGCGATGAAAGCGTGCGAAGAAGACGATCAGTGGCAGCGGGCCGTAGCGCTGCTCAGAGAGATGCGGGGGGCGAAGGTGGAGCCCGACGTCATCATGTTCAGCTCTTTGATCAGCGCGTGCGGGCAAGGCGGTCAGTGGCAGCGGGCCCTGGCGCTGCTCCGTGAAATGTGGGAAACGCATCTGAAGCCGAACCTCATCAGCTACAGCGCTGGGATCAGCGCGTGCGAACAAGGCGACCAGTGGCAGCGCGCCCTGGCGCTGCTCAGCGAGATGCGGGAGGCGAGGCTGGAGTCCGACGTCACGAGCTACAGTGCTGTGATCAGCGCGTGCGGGCAAGGCGGCGAGCAGTGGCAGCGGGCCCTGGCGCTGCTCACCGAGATGTGGGAGACGAATGTAGAGCCCAACGTCTTCAGCTACAGCGCTGGGATCTGCGCGTGCGAGAAAGGCGTTCAGTGGCAGCGGGCCTTGGCGCTGCTCAGCAAGATGCGGGAGGCGAGGTTGCAGCCCAACGCACTCAGCTACAGCGCTGGCATCAGCGCGTGCGAGAAAGGCGAGCAGTGGCAGCGGGCTCTGGCGCTGCTCAACGAGATGCAGGGTGCCAAGATGGAGCCCGACGTCATCTGTACTACAATTCTGGGCGTTGCGCGGGCGAAAAAAGGTTGTAGTATAAAGCTGCCCCCGAGCGCCCGAAGTGCCCGGGCGCTCTTCGGCGGCTCCAGAGAGCCCTTCGGAGGCCCCAAGACGGCCCCTGACAGCCCCAAGACAGCTCTGAGACGCTCTGGAGCGCGCGAGGACGGTCGAAGAGAACCCGAGCGGAGCCCCACGTCAGCTCAAGACGGCCCGACGACGGATTAGGTGCTTCGGATAATGGTTGAACCAAACTCTATGAGCCCCGGCTCCTGGAGCCGTCAGCAAATCCTGCAAACCCCGGAGCTAATTTCAGGGGTGACAGGGGGAACCTTCTGACAGCAACCTGACAGCACGCACACACAATAAGTTTCCCGGGCTATCCCCCAGAATGTGCTCTGTGGGACAGCCTGAGAAAGGCCCAAGAGGCGCCCAATAATCGCAAGAGGCCGTCAACACACCCCAAACATGTTCGCAGGAGGGCCCAACATGCCCCCGACACGGCCTCAGGGACGACCGAACTGTTCAACCTCGACGAGTTGTTCACCCAAGGCGTGTGAGCCCCAAGTGCAGCACACCGTGGATGTAATTCACGGGTTCGCACTAGTCAGCTACAGCGCTGGGATCAGCGCGTGCGATAGGGGCGAGCAGTGGCAGCGCGCTTTGGCGCTGCTCATCGAGATGTTGCAAGCGAAGTTGGGCTCCGACGTCATCAGCTACAGCGCTGTGATCAGCGCGTGCGGGAAAGGCAACCAGTGGCGGCGAGCTCTGGCGCTGTTGAGCGAGATGTGCGAGGCCGAATCGAAGCCCAATGCCGTCAGCTACAGCGCCGGAATCAGTGCGTGCGAAAAGGGCGACCAATGGCAGCGGGCCCTTGCACTGCTCAACGGGATGCGGGAGGCCAGGCTGGAGCCCAACGTCATCCACAGGAGGCGTCCACAGGAGGAGGAGGAGGAGGAGGAGGAGGAGGAGGGGGAGGAGGAGGAGCAGGAGGAGGAGGACGAGGAGGAGGAGGATGCGGAGGAGGAGGAGGAGGAGGAGGAGGAGGAGGAGAGGAGGAGGAGGAGGAGGAGGAGGAGGAGGAGGAGGAGGAGGAGGAGTGAGGAGGAGGAGGAGAGAGGAGGAGGAGGAGAGGAGGACGAGGAGGAGGAGGAGGAGGAGGAGGAGGAGGAGGAGGAGGGAGGAGGAGGAGGAGGTGGAGCAGGAGGAGGTGGAGGAGGAGGAGGAGGAGGAGGAGGAGGAGGAGGAGGAGGGAGGAGGAGGAGGAGGAGGAGGAGGAGGAGGAGGAGGAGGAGGAGGAGGAGGAGGAGGAGGAGGGAGGAGGAGGAGGAGTCCCAGGCACTGCGCGTGCCAGATGGGGGGCAGCCGCTGCGCCCCCCGGGCTCTGCGGCGGGCCGGCGCCTCCGGGGGACCCTGCTCGGGGAGCGGCGCTGTCCTGGCCTGGCCCTGCAGTGGGCCCCAGGGCGGCCCACGAGGGCCCAGAGTTAAGTCGGGCGTGTCCCCCTACAGAGGGCTATGTTTTTAGTATTTGGTTGCCCAATTGGGTTATTTGGGGGGTATTTTTCATTTTTCGTCGAAAATCCCCCCTGTAGGGGGACACGCCCGACATAAGCCCAGAAAGAGAGAGAAAGAGAGAGATAGAGAAAGAGAGAGAGAGAGAGAGAGAGAGAGAGAGCCGAGCGTGGCCTCCAGGGAGCCCTCCGAGAGCCCGAAAGCGATCTCAGGCGTCCAGATACTTTGGACTCGTGCTCCTCAGCATTTTCCGTCGACGGGCGTGCATCGCAGCTCTGTAGCTGGCGCTCCGGGCCAGCTTCGGAGGGAGCCAGCAGGCCGCCACGGAGCACCGAGAGGGGCCCCCGAAGAGAAAGCTGCGGGGGGAGCCCCGCGAGAGCCCCAAGGAGAGCCCCTCGCGAGTCTTCCGCTCGCGACTGCTTCTCTGGCCAACGGACGCCCAACTCGCCCATAGAAACCTCCCAAATCGTTCCCATGGCGCCCAGAGGGCTCCCAAGAGAGCCCCTACGACGTCCCCGAAGACTCAGACTCCCGAGACGGCCGAACAGCCCCTTAGAGGACTGACCTGAGGGAGACCCAACGGGGCCAACTCTGGAGCGCTCTCGACCCCACCCCGCCCTCCCCACGGCCAGCAAGCCCCCGAAGGAGGACGGCCTCCGAGACACTCCCCAGATGCTCTGAGAAAGCCTCCAGCAGCCCCCCCCCCCGACAAGGCTCCGACATGCTCCTGGAAGGCCTCAGATCATCAGAACAACCTGCACACCACGGGCTCCCAGAAGGCCTCCTGCAGCTCCCTCCGAACGGCCCCGATAGGCTCCTAGAAACACCAAGTGATGAGAAAAGGCCAGACCCCACAACTCTTGGAACACCTCTCGCGCAGGCGGGGTTGCAGAAGACGGCTGCCCGACGCAGCCGCGGACACGCTGGAACGCTGTTTCTGCGACCCCTCCCGAGCCTAGCGTGTCCCAAGCTGTGTGGGATGTGCGTCTTCCTGTCCGATCATCTTGGGCCTCCTCCTCCTCCTCCACCTCCTCCTCCTCCTTCAGGGTTCGTTCGCTCCTCCTCCATCTCCTCCTCTTCCTTCCTCATCCTCCATCCTCCTCCTCCTCCTCCTCCTCCTCTCTCCTCTCCTCATCCTCCTCCTCCTCATCCTCCTCTCTCCCCCGTTTTCGCTCTCTCCGCAATGCGGTCCTGCTGCGTAGCTGACCGCATGATTTCTGGGAGAGGGAAAAGGACAGGAAGGAGACGAGCAGTGGGAGGAGGAGGAGCAGGAGGAGGAGGAGGAGGTGGAGGAGGAGGAGGAGGAGGAGGAGGAGTAGGAGGAGGACGAGCAGGAGGAGGAGGAGGAGGAGGATGAGGAGGAGGAGGTGGAGGAGAAGGAGGAGGAGGAGGAGCAGGAGGAGGAGGAGGTGGAGGAGGAGGAGGAGGACGAGGAGGAGAGGGAAGATGATGATGATGATGATGATGATGATGATGATGCTGCTGATGATGATGATGATGATGATGATGATGATGATGATGATGATGATGCTGCTGAGGATGATGATGATGATGATGTTGTTGTTGTTGATGATGATGATGATGATTATGATAATGATGATGCTGATGATGATGATGCTGCTGATGATGTTGATGATGATGATGATGATGCTGCTGCTGATGATGATGATGATGCTGACGATGATGATGGTGATGGTGGTGATGATGATGATGAGGATGATGGTGCTGATGCTGCTGATGATGATGATGATGATGATGATGATGATGATGATGATGCTGATGATGATGATGATGATGATGATGATGATGATGATGATGATGATGATGCTGATGATGATGATGATGATGATGATGATGATGATGATGATGATGATGATGATGATGATGATGATGATGTGGAGGAGGAGGAGGAGGAGGAGTCGAGGAGAGAGGGAGAGGAGGAAGGAGGAGGAGGAGGACAAGGAGGGGAGAAGGAGGGGAGGAGAAGGAGGAGAAGTGGAGGAGAGGAGGAGGAGGAGGAGGAGGGAAGGAGGAGGAGGAGGAGGTAGGAGGAGGAGGAGGAGGAGGAGGAGGAGGAGGAGGAGGAGGAGGAGGAGGAGGAGGATGTGGGCGGAGGACGACTAACCAAGCACGAGGAAGGTGTGGAGGAGGACGAGGACGAGGAGGAGGGGGAGAAGGATGATGATGATGATGATGATGATGATGATGATGATGATGATGATGATGATGATGATGATGATGATGATGACGATGATGATGCTGATGATGATGATGATGATGATTGATGATGATGATGATGATGATGATGATGATGATGAGAAGGAGGAGGAGGAGGAGGAGGAGGAGGAGGAGGAGGCGGAGGAGGAGGAGGCGGAGGGGGGAGGGAGGAGGAGGTGGAGCTGCTGCTGGTGCTGCTGCCCATGCCCCTTGACCTGCTGCAGCTAGTATAGCCAGCGCTGCTCTGGTCGCCGCCGGGATCATCGAGCAAACACCGCACCCTGACGCAATGAGCAATCAGCAGCAGCAAACACCGCACCCTAGCCTACTTCTGCTTCAACGCCGGGGGAACCGCGTGCCAGAAGGGTGGACACTGGGACGCGGCTCAAGTGGCCCAAATCGCCCCTGGCTTGCATAGCGGGCCCTGGTGGGCTCCAGGGCAGTCCCAGCTGGCCCGAGACGCCTACGGACGGTCCAAGAGGATGCCGATATGGCCTCCGGACGGCCCAACAGGGCCCCAAGACGGCCCAAGAGGGCTCCAAGAGGCCCACCAAGAAGGGCCCCGCGAGGCCCAAGTCATCAGTTTTCCTACAAAGTTTTTGAAGAGTTTAGCGTCCTCGCCTTTCGGAGCTTCGACGCTTCAAGACGGCCCCAGAGGCTCCAAAGATCGCTCCAAGATGGCCCAAGATGCCCCCAAGAGAGCTGGCCCCAAAGGTGGTCCAAGATTTCCCAAAGATGGCCCCAAGTGGGGGAACTCGAACTGACATTTCGCGCCCCGCTTCGGGATGATCTCAGGAACCGCCAGCTGGTCCCCTGAGAGGCCCATCAGACGCCCCAGGAGGCCCCCTAAGAGGCCCACATCGGATCCCAGGAGACCCTCGAGAGACACGAAGGCACCCCCAAAACCGCCTCGAGAGGCCTCCGAGGGAAGGCCCCTCAGAGAGCCTTGGGACCGCGCCGGCCTCCAAGGAAATAAGGCGCCCATGCGCCACTTGTTTTCCCCCCTTCTCTGCAGCTCCGGTCTGAATGGGTGACACGTCCAGGAGTTCTCCCCGAGAATGTTCTGGACAGGCCGGCCATAGGGGGCATGCTCCGCAGTGCTTTCAATTCGGCTACACGTAAGAGTGACCTTTCGCCGGAGTGACCCTTGGTGCGGGCACAGATGGGTCCCCCCCCGATCGCCGAGCGCGATGCGATAGTAGCGCGCGCGCTTGTGGTTGGCCCCCCCGCGGCCCTCAAAAAGCCGCGCACCAAATGTCACCATTGCGAGTAGCCGATCAATCTCGTCCCCAGCCCATGCAGCCCGCGCGCATCCTCCGACCTCCTCGGGCGGCGACAGCCACCATGGAACCCTAAGACCCGCCTTCAAGAGGCTTCCGAGGGAGGTCCCCTCAGGAAGCTCTGGGGCCGCGCCGGCCAGCAAGGTTAATAAGGCCCCACGCGCCTCGTATTTCCTCCCTTCCTCTGCACAGGCTCGGGTCAACGCGCATCCTTCGACCTCCTCGGACGGCCACAGCCACCATGGCACGTCGTTGGAAAATAAGGCCCACAAACTCACGCGTCTTTCTTTTCAGCCTTAGCCCTAACACGGCCTCAAGGCGGCTCAAGATCATCCTGAGGCCACCCCAGTCGCCTCCGTTACCCCCGGCAGGTAAGCAGCAACAGCACGCAGCAGCGGTAAGCATTACAACAACACCCAGCAATGGCATCAAGCAGCAGCATGCAGCCCTGGACCCCAAAGACGGCCCCAGACGGCCCAAGACGGCCTGAACACGGCCGAATAGGCGCCCAAGACGGCCCACGACGGCCCCATGACGACCCAGAAGCAACCCAAGACTGCCCCAAGAGCTGCCCAAGACTGTCCAAGACGGCCCCAGACGGCCTAAGAGGCGCCCAAGACGGCCCAAGACCGGTTCCGAGACGGTCCAAACGGCACCGAGGAGAGCCTAAAAGGGCCCCAAGAGGCCCCCTCGAAGCCGAAAAGAGGCCCCAACAGGCCCCCACACGGCTCCCAAGAGGCCCTAAGTGGCTACAGACTTCCCTCCAACAGAGGGGGGGCGGACGAGAGGTGAGAGGCAGAACGCAGGCCCCAACAGCCGTTTTCGATGCTCCGAGGGTCTACGATGTACGATTCAAGATCCAGGGCATGCATGATCGAGGCAAGGAGGCGGCGGAGGAGGAGGAGGAGGAGGAGGAGGAGGAGGAGGAGGGGAGGAGGAGGAGGAGGAGGAGGAGGAGGAGGAGGAGAGGAGGAGGGAGGAGAGGAGGAGGAGGGGGGGGAGGAGGGAGGAGGGAGGGAGGAGGGGGAGGAGGGAGGAGGGAGGAGGAGGAGGGAGGAGGGAGGAGGGAGGAGGGAGGAGGGAGGAGGGAGGAGGGAGGAGGGAGGAGGGAGGAGGGAGGAGGGAGGAGGAGGAGGGAGGAGGGAGGATGGGAGGAGGGAGGAGGAGGAGGGAGGAGGAGGAGGGAGGAGGGAGGAGGGAGGAGGGAGGAGGAGGAGGGAGGAGGGGGAGGGAGAGGAGGAGGGGAGGAGGGAGGAGGGAGGAGGGAGGAGGGAGGAGGAGGAGGGAGGAGGAGGGAGGAGGGAGGAGGGAGGAGGAGGAGGGAGGAGGGGAGGAGGGAGGAGGGAGAGGAGGAGGAGGAGGAGGAGGGAGGAGGGAGGAGGGAGGAGGGAGGGGGAGGAGGAGGAGGAGGGAGGGGAGGAGGGAGGAGGGGGAGGAGGGAGGAGGGAGGAGGAGGAGGGAGGGGAGGAGGGAGGAGGGAGGGGGAGGAGGAGGAGGAAGGAGGAGGAGGAGGAGGAGGAGGAGGAGGAGGAGGAGGAGAGGGAGGAGGAGGAGGAGGAGGAGGAGGAGGAGGAGGAGGAGGAGGAGGAGGAGGAGGAGGAGGAGGAGGAGGAGGACGAGGAGGAGGAGGAGGAGGAGGATGGAGGAGGAGGAGAGGAGGAGGAGGAGGAGGAGGAGGCGGAGGCGGAGGCGGAGGCGGAGGAGCAGGAGGAAAGCCGAGAAGGCCCAAAAGAGAGCCTCTCGAGGTCCAGATGACGTACGGAGCTTCGAACGTGGCCCCAAGACGGCCCAAGAGGAGCCCAGACGTCCCAAGAAGGTCCCAAACTGTCCCAAAGAGGCCCACAACAGAATCTGAGAGGCCCTCAAACCCGCAAAGAGGCCCAAAGAGGCTTCAAAAGTGCCTCCAAGAGAGGGGGCCCGGCGCTCCTGACACGCCCGAGAAGGCTTCACCTTCGACAGAATTCCAACAACACGGCATCCCCAACCTAGCTGAGCACGTCCGACCCAACAGCGGTTCTTGTTCAGATTTTATTTAATTTCACACCCTCTTGAAGCTCTCTTGGTCCTTCCCTGGATCCTTGCGAGCCTCCCCGGCGCTCCGGTGGCTTTCCCCGAGGGCCTCCCGAGCGCTTCCATGGGCGTTCCTGAGACGCCTCAGATGGGTTTCGACTGTGACGCACGTCCCCGAGAGACTTCAAACCTGCCCTCAATAGGAGGGGGACGAACAAGCCGTGCGCTGGGGCCAAGCTGCTGGAGCGCTGCAAGAGCTCGGACACGAAGGCGCAGTCTCACTACCGTCGCACTGGCCGCCGCCGTGCTTATAGGTTTTCGGCAAAATCTCTGCCGCTCCTCCGAGAACCATTCCAAAACGATGTCGTGGACGGAGTCCACGGGTCAGCTCTACTCAGCTACAATGCTGGGATCAGCGCGTGCGGGAAGGGCGATCAGTGGCAGCGGGCTTTGACGCTGCTTAGCGAGATGTGGGAGGCGAACTTGGAGCCTGACGCCATCAGCTACGGCGCTGGGATCAATGCGTGCGAGAAGGGCGGTCAGTGGCAGCGGGCGCTGGCGCTTCTCGGCAAAATGTGGGAGGCGAAGGTCGAGACTAACACCATCATCTACAGCGCTGCGATCAGTGCGTGCGAGAAGGGCGAGCACCCATTCGTGTGTGTAGAGCACTCTTTCGCACCTTTGATGGTATATAGCTACGGCATTCTGCCTGCCTTCCTCCAGATTTGTTCTGTCCTCCCCTATTCCCTCTTCTCTCTTCCCTCCTCCAAAGGTGCTTCTTCCCTCCTTCCCTGCTACCTTTGCCCCACCGCCTTCTCCTGTCCTCGTTCTGTCTCCCGACTCGTTCCCCTCGGCCTTCTTCCCTCCTGCGTATTCGTGGCCAAGGCATTGTGGCCCAGGCAGGTGTGGCTCAAGAGCCGTCGGATGCTTGACATCAGGAAGGGATCTCGACCATGTTTTTATTCAATGGAAGCAGCCATCAGGAATTGTGGGAGGACGAACGCAGCGTTGCGCTTTTTCCGCGAAGCGTCTCATCAGCGTGCGGAAGTCGGCAAATGCCACTTCACTGCGATTGTTGGCACGTGCGGGAAAAGCAGGCAGTGGCAATGGGCGCTGTTGCTTCTCTGCGAGCTGGCCGGAATGAAGCTGGAACCCGACGTGATCTCTACCGCATTGTCCGCTTAGTGGCCAGCGGCAGCAGTCGGCAGCAGAAGCTACCAGCAGCAGCCAGCAGGCAGCCACACCCTGCAGCAGGAATCAGCAACAGTGAGCAGCAGCAGCAGCAGCAGCAGCAGCATCAGCACGAAGCCACAACGATGGCACCGAGCATCAGCATCCAGAAAAAGCAGTACCAGCAGCACCAGAAGGCCGCAGCAGGCCGCAGCAGGCAGCAGCCCGCACCCGCACTAGTCAATAGCAGGCGGCAGCGTAAGAAAGAACCAGTAAGCAGCGGCAGCCAGCAGTAGCCAACGCTAGGAAACATCGGCGAGCGCGTTCCACTACTCGCAAAGTCACTACTCGCAAATGGCCCGGATCCCCCGCGGGGGATCTACGATAAATGACAGGAAAGCAGACATGTGTTTTTGTCGGGCGTTTGCGAGTAGGCACTTTAGCGAGTAGTGGAGCGCGCTCGGCGAAAACGGCAGGCGGCAGCAAGTGGCAGCGCACAGGTGCGCCAGCAGTGGAGCAAGCACGCAGCACGTCGAACCGGCAGAGCAGCGTGCAAGCAGGCAGGCACGCGGCGGGCCAGCAGGCGAGCAGCCGCGCGAGCAGGGCAGCACGCGAGCAGGTAAGCAGTCAGACAGAACCGGCATCCACCACCACTCAACAGGAAACCACAGCGACAAGAAGCAGCAAGCAACGACACCACGCCTTGACAGCACAAGGGCTAAGCACTGCGCCTGCTAGCACAACTGACAGCGCCCCGCCCTAAGAGCACTGTCAGCATCCAGCAGGTATCATAACTAGCAGCACCTTGAACCCATGATCCACTGCACAGCACTTAGCATTATAAGCACCACGCAGGTAAGCATGCCAGCACAATTTGCAGCAACCAGCATTCGACTTCAGCAGAGTGCAGCCGCGACAATAAACATAATGCAGTGGCATGACGCGCTGACAGCGCCAGCACCAAGCAGCAAGCATAGCCAGCACGCCGCAGCAAGCACCAGCCCGCACCACAGCCCGCACCAGTAAGCAAGCAGTAGCCGCAGAAAGGACAAACAGCATCAACCACCCCCACGTAGGACCAAACGGTAGCAATCGGCAGCGAGTGGACGAGCGAGCGATGGAACGGGCAAGAAGGCAAGCGGGCCAGCATGATATCAAGCACTCCAGTCAGCATGCAAGGCTTACAATCGTGAAGAGAGAGCTGTCAAGCCGGCAGGCTTGCAGCCATGTGCGGATGACAGTACGCAAGCAGGCAATTAGGCAAGCGATCTTCACCCTCGCATGCGGGTCGGCTGTCGTGGACGGTGGTCCACGAGTCAGCCCTAGTGTACCCTACAATGCCGGGCGAACCGCGCGCCTGAGGGCAAAGTAGACAAAAGACTCAAGACCGGCTCCGCCGGTCCCGGCGCGCTCCAGGCTCCCCGCGGGGGGCTTCAAGACAGCCGAGGAGGGCTCCAAGACAGTCCAAGTTGGCCCGAGGCGCTTCCAGACGGTCCAAGAGGTCGCCTATCTGGCGTTTTGACGGTCCCACAGGGCCGCAAGACGGCCCAAGAGGGCTCCAGAGCCCCCCCACGAAGGGCCCCGAGAGGGCCCAAGAGGCCCCCACGACGGCCCAAGGGGGCCCCAAGAGGGGGAACTCGAACTGACATTTGCGCCCTCCGCTCCAAGATGATCCCAGAAACCGCCAGCAGACCCCCACGAGACCCCCTAGAATGCCCAGGAGGCCTCCCAAGAGGCCCAAATCAGGTCCCAAGAGGCCCCCGAGTGGCTTCAAGACAACCCACCCAAACCGCCTCCAAGAGGCTTCCGAGGGGAGATCCCTCAGCCAGCTCTGGAACCGCGCTGGCCATCCCATGCGCCTCTCATTTTCTCCCCTTCTTTGGATAGGCTTCCGTCCGAGTGGGCGACTCGTCGGTGAGTTCTCCCTGAGAGTGTTCAGGACAGGCTGGCCATTGGGGGGAATCTCCGCGGTGCCTTCGAACTTCTTCCGAGCCTACGCAGCCCGCGCGTATCCTCGGACCTCCTCCCGCGGCCACGGCCACCGTGGAACATTTTCGGAACATGGGGCCACATACTTCTGCTTCTCAGTTTTCCAGCCTGGTCCCTATACGGCCTCAGGCGGCTCAAGATCTTCCTGCTCCTGGAGCTGCCCAAGACGCCCCCAGTAGACCCCGAAGGCAAGCGGCAACAGCACGCAGCAGCGGCAGTCATTTCCAACAGCACGCGGCAGCAGCAAGCAGCAACATGCAGAAGCATTTTCGCGGAGTGCGACGTGCGACCCCCGCGTCAACACGTCAGGCTTTCGGCCGCATGTCCACCAGCATCTGCCCGTTCGTGCAGATTTCGCGGACGGGGTCCGTGGGTCAGCCCTGGCCTACACTACGACACCAGGGGACAGCGCGTACGAGGCTGCGCTGCCGCAGCTCGCTCCGGGGCGGCTGCCGGCGCCCCCGGTGGTTGTGCACAGTCGCCGGCGCTCCCGGGGGCGGTCCTGGACGGCCCTGGACGGTCGCTAGAAGGCTTCAAGACGTCAAGCGATGGCTCAGAGACTTTGCAGAGAGTGCTTGGACGGTCCAGAACCCGAAGCGCTCCAAGACGGCCCCAACGAGGCCCCAAGAGGCACCTAGAGGGGCCCGTAACCCCCAACACGCCTGCGAGGGCTCCCAGGAGGTTCTCACGAGGTCCAAATCTGGGCCAAGAGAGCCCCATGGGAACCCCCGAGAGAGCCTGAAGGCGCAACATTGAATGATGTTCCGTCGGCTTTCGACAGATGGCAGCTTGCTCGCGTTTTGGGATTCTCGACTACTCCAGACCGTCTCAGGGGGCTTTCCATATCGGCCCCAGGCGGCCCAGGAGGCCTTGAAGGGATCTCATGACGGCCCAAGAGGACCCCAAGGCGGCCCAAGAGGGCGCCAAGACGGCCCCAGAGCGCTTGAAGAAGGCTCACAGAGGTCGCCAAGAAGACCCGATGAAGACCTCAACGAAGCCCCAAGAGGGGCCAAGCGAGGCCCGAGACCCCACGCGTGCCCCTGACAGCTCCTTGGAGGCCCCCGAGGGGCCCCAGGCCGCCCCAGGAGAGGCCCAAGAGGAATCCTGAGAGAGGCTCAGGAAGCAAACATCCAGGAGGAGGAGGAGGGAGGAGGAGGAGGAGGAGGAGGAGGAGGAGGAGGAGGAGGAGGAGGAGGAGGAGGAGGAGGAGGAGGAGGAGGAGGAGGCGGAGGCGGAGGCGGAGGCGGAGGCGGAGGCGGAGGCGGAGGCGGAGTTTCCGTTCCTGGTTGAAGCGTTTGAGCTTGCTCGCTGGTTCGGATTCTCGAGACGGCCTCAGGGGACCTCCTCATCGGCCCCAGGCGGACCAGGAGGCCCCCGAGAGGACCCCAAGACGGCCCCGAAAAGTGGGCGCCGAGACGGCTCCCAAGAGGCCCCAGGGAGGCGCCAAGGCGTCGCGAAGACGGCCCGCAGAAGGCCTCTGAGGGCTCCCACAGTGGGGGCCCACGTCTCAGCAGGAAAAGAACACACACAGACACAATTCATCCTCGATTCCCCAGAAAATATGGGAAACTATGGGAAGTGGGGGGGAAGACAGAAAGCGCGAAAATATGGGAAACTATGGGGAGTCTTTAACTTTGTGTGTATTTATTTGTGTGTGTCCCAGGGCCCCTTCAATGTCAAGAACACCCTGCTCGCCTCCAGGGTGCCCTGGGCTTCTTGGGCTTCGGTGGCTCTTCCGTGGAAGGCCCGCCGCTTCCACACCCAAAGATCAGTGGACGCCCTGGGGTCTCAGGGTTGGGTTTCTTGGGGAAGGTTTCTTGTTGCCAGGCCTCCACCGTATGGAGCGAGGAACCCCGGGAGGGCTCCGAAGACCGATCTTGAGATGCTCTGTCGTCGATCTGTCGTCCACTTCCTCTCCGAGGTTCCAGGCCGCCGAGCGCTCTCCCAGGGGGGGGTGGGGGGGAGGGGGGGGGCGCTTCGGGCCCCCGAGGGCCCTCCCCCCCCAGACGTGCTGAGAACGGCCTGGGAGCACTGAGAAGGCCGCCCGAGGAGGCCGATGACGACGACGATGGTGATGATGGTGGTGATGATGCTGATGATGGTGATGATAATGATGCTGCTGATGATGATGCTGCTGATGTTGATGGTGATGAAGATGCTGCTGTTGCTGATGATGTTGATGATGGTGATGCTGATGTTGTTGATGATGATGCTGCTCATGATGATGTTGATGATGATGCTGACGATGATGATGCTAAAGCTGCTGATGATGACGACGATGATGATGTTGATGGTGATGATGATGCTGCTGCTGATGATGCTGCTGCTGATGATGATGGCGATGATGCTGATGATGCTCATAATAATGAGGATGATGATGATGATACTGATGCTGCTGATGATGATTATGATGAGGACGATGATGATGCTGATGATGCTGCTGCTGTTGCTGCTGTTGATGATGATAAGGATGATGATGCTGATGATGATGGTGGTGGTGATGATGATGAGGCTGATGATGATGATGATGCTGATGCTGATGCTCATGCTGATGCTGATGATGATGATGATGATGATGATGATGATGATGATGATGATGATGATGATGATGATGATGGGAAGGAGGAGGAAGAGGATGATGAGTAGTAGTAGTAGTAGTAGTAGTAGTAGTAGTAGTAGTAGTAGTAGTAGTAGTAGTAGTAGTAGTCGCCGTAGTAGTCGTAGTCGTAGTCGTAGTCGTAGTCGTAGTAGTAGTAGTAGTAGTAGTAGTAGTAGTAGTAGTAGTAGTAGTAGTAGTAGTAGTAGTAGTAGTAGTAGTAGTAGTAGTAGTAGTAGTAGTAGTAGTAGTAGTAGTAGTAGTAGTAGTAGTAGTAGTAGTAGTAGTAGTAGTAGTAGTAGTAGTAGTAGTAGTAGTAGTAGTAGTAGTAGTAGTAGTAGTAGTAGTAGTAGTAGTAGTAGTAGTAGTAGTAGTACGGGTTGTACGGGTAGTACGGGTAGTAGTAGTAGTAGTAGTAGTAGTAGTAGTAGTAGTAGTAGTCGTATAGTAGTAGTAGTAG